TTTGTATCTCTATAATTAGTTATACAACAGTCATTGACTAATTATTTGCTTTTCATCAGTAGTCATTCAAATACTATCACTAAAATTCAGCCCTTGCAATAAACAAGTGTCATAAAGAAATCTATTAGGTAAATATAAGAGTGTCCAATAAAAGCAAAGTACATGTGAGGAAATGAACCGCAATCTGTTTCAATTATCACAAGTGTGTCAAATCACAGTAAGTGTTCATAAATGAAATAGTTCAGGCTGAGCCATTTGATGATGTTCTCTGAACACTTCTTCTTCCATAAACCCTGAAATACAGCCACTCAATAAAACTGACAAGCTTATATAATGATCTCTTTTGATCCTTCTCAGGAGACTAAGGCATTCATTAAGGATGGGATTGACTCCCAACAGGGAATATGGCCAATTTAGCCATACCTCATTTGAGAAACTTGCTAGTTTAGTTACTTTTACTACATGGACAGAATTGTTATTGCAAGGATGTGAAAGCAACAAGTTTAGTGATGTTTCTGGGTCATGCATTCTGATAGATGAATATCTTTATCTAAACAGTGTAAACATTTTGTCATACTTTATCAATGTTGCTCGTTCTTAGGTAACAGTATGCTTGGTTTTGCTGTGAAAAACTTTTCTATTGATTTCAAGAAGGTAAGGTTGATTGCAGTATGCATTGATAATTTGCCATGCTTGTTGATTTATATGCTGCAAAAGTTAGTAGTGTTGAAAAAAATTGATACATCTATAGGTGAAAATGACAATTGATTTACAAAGCTGACACTGTTTCATGGAAAGTTGGTGTATGTGAGCGACATGGTGTTTGCTTCTGTCATGGTTGTCGGTTTGGGGTGAATTACTTCTACTTAAGAAGTCAGTGTTGGGTTGAACTTTTTTTGGTTCAACATTACAGTGTGTTACAGTGACAGCTCTCCAAATAACAGGGATTAGTTTAGAAGTAGGCAATATTTCCATTTCCTTTCTCCCCAATCTAGTATTGTTCCATTCAAGTTTATGACATTGTCCGTCCAGTCACCCAGCCAAATGACTACCTCCATCCTCAATCTAAAAGTCCTCTTGTGTTGAAAGCTTAGCCAAATGCCAGTATTGCTTCATTTTGGAGCTATCAGGAGCTTGGTGTGAACGATTCTGGAGGAGCAGCGGACTTTTCAAAAAGCCATTTGTCATGCAATGATGACTTCAGTCCTGTTTACAACACTCAGACCCCAGGACAAAGTAACAAAGGCCACCTCATGGGGGTCGGCCCCAGCAAGGCCCTAGTCAGCTTCAATCCAGCCCATATCCAGCCTAGGTGGTAATTTCCCAGGATCATTTAGCCCCTGGTTACCTAACTCTGGTGAAGCCAACCTGAACCAGTGGGTGGTAGGCTGTGGCAGCTAGGTCTGGTTATCTACCCACCTCCCATCCTCCAGGGATGCCTGGACCCAAATTAAGGCAGATTTGGGGCTTGATAACTCACTTTAATCATGTTGTAATGATGATAGAAATGAAACATGCTTTACACCACTGGGTTAGAACTATAGGCAGATGTAACACTGGCTTAGTGTAGGTTGTTCGCCATTGTAGATAGGGCAGATTACAAAAGTCATTACATAATCTGATGGTTTTGATAATTTGAGGAGGGACTGGCAAGGTTTTTTGAGTGTCAGAAAGCTCACCATGGGGTCCTTTTCATGAAGTTGAGAAATATTGGATGGTGGTGTCCTGTTGCTATCACTGTTGTGACACTTATAATATGAGAAAGACATATTTCAAATGGCAGAATGTCATGAAACTTAAAAGTAATGTGAAACTGTATCGTTAGTCTTTTGATTCTAAATGTAAAAAGGTTCATTTCTTTAAGATTGTAGGCATTTGTCTTTCTTTCTGATTCCATACAGATATAACGTAACTATTCAACATCAGTTGTAACATATGTTATGATAACTGAGATATTTAACATATTATATTTGGGATTACACTTTCTGAGTAAAGTACAGATTCTAGTACTATTGTTGGGTTGAGTCCCAATGACATTGTGTATTTATAACTGAAATATTGATGTGATGGTTCCCTTATTCAACAAAGCAGCCTGTGCCTACGTTAAAGTATGGGAGTTATGATTATCTTAGAGCTAAGATTGTGAAATGGACTAGGGACCTGGGCCTTTCACACAGGGTGATCTAAGACTCCCGTACTTATTCATGCTATGATTGTAGCACTAAAATCACTTTGTGGAATGAGGTCCTGGGTCCTATGGAAAAAGATTTTTCTCTGAAAGTGTAAAGAGTAGTAAAGTATGAAAAGCCATCTTCAATAGCTGAGATTTGTTTTAGAATACTTCTATGATTGCAATCAGCAGTTGTTCAGTTCTAATCATACAGATTTTGTCATACTAAAACAAGCAAAATATTTACAAATCTATCAAATACTGATAATAACTTTGTGAAGTGTTAGTCAATAGTGATGTCATGTGTTAATTTGTCTCTTATAATGTTTTTGAGAATCTGAATTTCTGGATATTTACTCACTGACAGATTTTAAGGACAAATGCCAAACTTCTGTAACATTCAGTGTTGTGAAGCCTGATCTGAACTTCTGAATATCTACTCATCCCTAGAGTTTAAGGGCAAGTGTGAGAAGATATATTGATTCTGTAGCATTTCATTCTATGTAGTCTGTCTTTATCTACTTAGGTTTTTTATCTTCAAATTTCTTTCATTAGGCCCAATAGAGCATTAGTGGAATTACCCAATATCAATAAAAAAAATTGTGTGGTCAAAAACATTTGTAAACACTCAGCCAATAAAAAGGGGATGGCTTGTTACATCTAAACTGATCAATTACACATGCACCATTACCTTTAAAAAGCTAATTTCAACTTTGAGAAAAGTGAAAGCCAATGAATCTTTTGTATCATCAAGTGTTTTTCCCTCCCTTTGATCTTGAATCCTAACATCATTACACTTGTAAAAATGTTCTCCTTTGTCTGTGGTTGAACCTCAGTAGGTCTAACCCAGCCTGATTGTCCATTGTCCCATCTCCTACCACATACCTACAGTTGGTTCTCACACAGTCTACCTTTTTGTGTGACTGTAGGGTATTTTCAGCATTAGCTATTGTCCTACCCAGTAATCTATTGTCCTCATGGCTGTGACAGTGTGCAGTCAAAGGCCACAATTATCTATTAACTAGGTGCATGGGACAAAAGATCTCTGCAGGACATTCTCAAGTCTGGGCCTCTCTCTCACCTCAGTCCAGGCTAATTTCACCACTCAGGACTTGTTACTCATTGCTTGATTGAATCACACGGGGTTCCCGGGGACTAATTTTCTGGTGGAATTTTCAAAGTAAACTTGGGATTAAACCTGAATGTGTTAATGAGATGTGTGAAAAGTCACCAGCGTGTGACCTTGGCATATCCTTGCTCCCACCCTGTTACAAGATTTTCTCACCCTTTGAGAAACTTGCGTGAAACTTCCAGTGGGAACTGTTACCACATTTCAGGTTCTTTTGAATTCAGAATTCAATCCAGACTGTTTTCTACCAAGGTGGGAAATGACAAGATGGTAACAGTATTGAAAACTTTTTGAAACTTGTTCCAAACAGCTTGACTTTTTCCTAAGATGGTGTTAGGAACTTTTTCACGAGATTAAACAATAGCAAAGTGTGGGATCCTCTGCTTATTCAAACAGACTTGTTGATATTAGGGCAAAATTGTGATATTTCACATGCCTTATACAAGTGTCAGATTTGGTATTAATGACTTGGTGAATGTTCATTGGCCTGGTATTAGTTGTCTTATCAGGAGGTTTTGAGTTACCAGAATACATCATTGATGATGAATTAGTCCAAAGATGACAGTCTGAGACTCAAGATGCTTAAGATGAATTCCCAGGGATACACTCCTATATGGTTTGAATAATATTTATTTATGTTCGATACAATTTTATTTGTTAATAATTACTTATTAATGTGGTCAAGAAAAAAATAGATTGTAATTGGCTGATTTAATATATATTTTTCTTTAACCATGCTAACCAATTTACACAAAATTGCAAGATGATTAATTTCAGGATATTCAGTATCTTGATTTTGTATTCCATGCCATCAGTAAATTTGGTTTGGTTATCTGATGGTCATTGTCTCCTTGTAATAAGTCTCTTGGGCCAAAATTTGGCTATTGTTTGACAGTAAGAGACAATTATTGTGTCTACAACCTGACAGTATTTTGTCATTTGGCAGACAAGTCATGAGTGACTGTGTTACTAAGAGGAATAAAGAACCTAAAGCAATTCCTCATAGTATCTCAGCAAGCAGATGACAGTTTATGGTTACGGGTGACTGAATGCCTTGCTAGGCATGTAGGGAGTTTTTTTTGTCTGTCTCTTGCTGAGCTTAGGGCAACTCGCTCAAGCATTACTTTTGGATGTTTCATGTCTGTTCTTACATTTCAAGAAATAATTAATGCAGAAAAGCACTATAGTTACTAGCACTGTTAGTACTTGTTTTTTCCTTCAAGTTCTTTAATTCCTTCAAACATTTGAGTTCAAGAGGAACTATTTGAAAAGTACATATACTGTAGTTTTGTAGACAAAATAACTTGATAACCAGAATTGGGTTTTTCTAGAACGTTAAACAAACGAGGAAAGTTGAAACAAGGAAAGTTCAAACCAGTTGTTGCAAACAGATGCAATCTGTAACTAATTTTGTTGAAGCAGCAACATGAGGCAACAAAGTGAGGGGTGTCTGAGAATGATAGCCAGGGATATCCCCTAGGGACATTATAAGAGAGAGGTCATCTTGATTTATGGGGCCAGCTGAATGATGTTTTGTGTCTGTCCACACAACTGCTGACCAGAGAGGGTGCTTGTTAGCAGAAGTGCAACTCTTGAGTGGAGGGTATGCTGCTTGACAGAACACATTTTAAACTTCACTTTCTCTCTCAAATGTTTGAGTTTGACAGTTTTACTGACTGGTGTTTGTTTTTGTTCTTGCAGCCTGAATCGATTTGGCAGTTTGCTGAAGACCAACCCAGACATCCCACCAGAGGCCTACACAAAGTGAGCAATGCCCTGTCACATCCATCATGCCTAATCACTTAGACTATTGTCTAGGGTGTCCTAAATTATATAGCTTAGTATTATATGATAACTGTTGTGACACAGTGTAAAATAATGCTAAGGGTTATTACTTTCTTATTACATGCCCTAGGGTCCAGTAAATTGTAAACAGGTGACAACCTGTAAATATGATTATTGTTATGGTATTACTCTCAAGACAAATGGACATCAGTGTCTGTCACTTGTCAAGGAGTGGATTATGTTTTGGAAATGATAGATGTGTATTTGTTGTTTCCTTTTGCAGAAGGAAAACTATTGCTTTTAGGAGGATAAACTCACTGCCTGTAAGTATGATTTGAAGAAGTTTGTAATAAAGTTACAAAGGAATCTTACATCTTTTTAGTGTAGTATATAAATTTGTGATATTCTCTTGTAAACATCAATAGTTTTTTTTGTCTTTAATGTTTGTTTTTATTTTCAATATTCAAACAATGTATGAAAGGTTCTATATTCAGTATTATATTCATCATTCAAGCAGCGCAACAGCTACTGCATTTAGCAATTAATTTTTAAAGTAAACGTTTCAATCCACTATTTTTGTGTCATATTGGTATGAAACCCATGTTTTGGGGGTAAAATTCCATACTTACTGACTGTTTGTACATTTGCATTAATTTGTTGTGTATCTTTTCCAGCTACCTACTATGCGTCTTGACAGCCCCACTGACTTCCAAGATAAAGAAAACTCCTGTTCCCCCAAACCTAGTGAATGCATGCTTGACTGTGACCGCCCTGCTTTTGACCCTGAAGACACATGTTCACAGGACAGTGGCCTAGGATTTGACAGAGAAAAGGTACTCACCAGACTCAGTGTTGTTTGTTGACAATAGACACTACATGACTATTTCAAGAGCTCATGTACAAGTATACTATTTGACTCAAAAAATCATGACAACATCTTCAATTGCAAGGTATTTGGTGCAAATTGTTTATCACTTCAGAAGTATCATGATATTGTAATGTGAATGATTTACATTATTCTATATTTACTGTGATTGTGTTTTAGGATGAACGCTTCCTGTTTGCTGCACCAGTTGGAGTACCCCCAAGAAAGATGAAGATAATTAATGAAGATGCATGTTCCCCTCAGAAATATTCTCCAGTCAAGTCTCCGTCCAAAAAGAGATCTTTCTCACAGACCTTCCAGGTATTGTTAACATACAGCATTTCATATTTCATGACTAGTATCCCTGTGTTGTCTTTTCAAAGTAACGAAAGAAGGAGTATAGCACAATCTTATGGAGGATTGTTGGGACAATAAAATCATGCTAGTTTGGTAATGAGGTTGGTGGGGATATATAATTACAATATTACAGTATAAGCGATTACTTTCAAGCCCAACGTTACACCTTTATTTCTCGACATGCCAAAACGACAAGTTTGATACCCTAATGGTTAAAGCATTTGAAAGCTTACTTGAGTTTAGTTGTTATTCAGTTTGTGGGTAATCAGGTTATGGGTATGAGTGGTATCTATCCTGCCTTATTACCTACAAGGATGAACATATCGGGTTTATTCATACGATGCCCTAGGGCAAAATATCACTTTGTCATGGTGACGTGACATCATGAACAATGCTATGACGTCACGTTTCTTTTGTGACGTTGCGTTCTACATGCGGCGACCGTGGGTAGCCAGCCTATGTTTGAAAGTAGATTTGGGTTTATTTTCCTCAATTTGACGAGTTTGGTAATAAACAGAATATTATATGAGTGCCCATGTCATACTATGTTTACGACACATGTGCCTAAATATCGGTATATTTCATTTAAGAACTGAAATACATGAATGAAGGCAGTCTTTCTAACAATATTTTTGTTTGTAGTCATCACAGGACAAGGGTGGGCCATTTGGTAGTCCTGTTCATCTCAAGTCATCACCTCTTGCCAGCACTGATGATGATATTGATGATGGTTTCCTGGATGTCTTTGACCAGGAGGTAGCAGAGGTAAATATCAATGGCCAATTCTTCAGGAAGTTGTGTGTCATGACTCAGCAGAAGATGATTGTATTATAAATATCACTCCTTTAATGTAGTCAGCAGTAGAACCAAGATTCTTTTTCATAGAGATCCTCCTTGGGATACTTATAAGCATGAAAATGTCCATTTTAAACAATGGATGGGGTTCACCTTGCATAAATTTCAAAATAGGCTGACACAGTCACATGTCAGATATTGAGAAAGGAAAGGTGCTCACATCTTGAACACCCTTGGATCCACCAGTAGTACCGTATTGTAGTCTGTGTTTTAATTGTTCTGTGATTACAAAGATCTGTTAAGGTTTTGTATCAGTAGTGTTTATTGTTTACTTTTCCAGATCACTGACCCTGTTCCCGTCAGTATGGCTAGTCTGTTTAGTGCCCCTGTCCTCAACAAGGACACCCACATACAAGATGATGATACCCCAGTTGTAAGTAATTACACTATTGTCTGTGTTTCTGTCTGTTAGACGGATGTACAAAATCTATGGAGAATTGATGAACTGGATACCATGTTGTTATAAAATTTGGGTACTTTAATATTATTTGTTTATTTCTTCAAATCAGGTATCACCTTTGAAACTTTCAAATATTTTTTCAGTTACGAAGAACAATGGCAAGGACATCCATCCTGCAAAGATCTCAGTCATTTGATGTCCGATCTCGGCCATTTTCTCACAAGCGACTAGAACCACCACGAGATGAAGCAACACCAGTTCAAAACAAAAGGCATCGAAAAGAGTTTATAGGAGACCTGACCTCTTGTGTGTCACCACTTGTAGAGGTCAGTTTTGGTAACAAGGACATCAATGGATCAGTTGAGTTTTGATGGATCTGTATAAGATCAATGTCATTTCCCTCATATAGTTGTCTTGTGTGAACAACCGTGCTCAAATAATTGCCTATAAATATGTGATAACGATATTAGAAATGAGAAGTAAAAGTGTCACATTAACTTAAATCTTTCCTCAATACAGCCTTTGTCTTTCAGAAACCTCCATACATGAAACTACATCGCTGTCATTCAGAAACTGAGGCCCAGATTAAATCTGCTCTCAACAGACTGAACGATGAGCCTGATCTCATTGGCGACTGCTCCAAGGTAAAACACAGTGATCAGGTGCTAGCAGTACAGTACTTCTGTCACTCAGGAGCAAGTTGTGAAGACAGCAACAAATTAGGAAAAAGCACTACTTGAAATCAATTCCTTTCTGAGTTTGTGTTTAATGTTTTTCGTTGGAATAATCTTACAAAACATTTCTATCACAAGTTCAATGATTGGTACATAAGGTCAGTGGGTTCTTTTTATTCAAGATCTAACAAACATGATGAAAGCTATAGAAACATACATTGTTTTGAACCTTTAACCATATTGGTGTATTCACTAGTTTGGATACACTGAAGAAAATCATGTGCATGTATTAAGTTTAATGAAACAGGCAAACCAGGGTGCCGTTGTACAAAGCAATCTTAGGGCTTAGGTGATTGTAACTCTCAGATCTTAACATAGACTTACGACTGTCGTAGCGCTAAGGTTGTTTTGTACAACAGCACCCAGAGCTGAATTCCAAATTCACGTTTCAATTTCAATGTTTATTGAAGACAACATAATTCTATAACAGATACATTTATATCAGATATGACCATGAAGATGCGGGTTAGAATTGATCTTTGGTAACCTATGCTTGTCGTAAAAAGCGACTAATGAAATTGGGTTGTCAGACTCGCTGGTTATCTCCCAATTGACAGACACCCATTCGCAGACAGTCAGTTGACAGACACTTAACTAGAAGGTTAATTAGGGTAACACCTTTGCGTATAATGGAACAGTCCACTGTCTAGTGAGTAGAGTAGGGTGAGCCTGAAACAGGTTTGTTACTGAGAAGTTTGATTGTGTGTACATAGAACTGAAATGAGCCCTCTCCTAATAAAAGCATACGTACAACAGAATTTAAGTGAGAAAACGTTTTGTTTGAGAGATACAGATATGGACATATTTGAAAACATTCTGATTTTCAGTAATTGAGATACCTGCATGGCCATGATTATTACCTATCAGTGATCTAATTTTAAACAATACTTTCTACAGATTGTAGCAGTTTGTGTCTTTGAAAAGTATACAATGGACATTCAAGGAAGTAATGAAAAACGTTCTCACATCCATGGCCACATTGACATGATGCGTCATTTTATTTATATTTACTCAAAATAAATCATAATTAAGTGTACTCACCATAGATTATATCTTAATCTTGTGTGCAAAACATTTAACTCCCTTATTGCATATGAATAATATTTAGGTGCACATATTTCTTAAAATTATTCGATTCTTTTTCATAGAGAACGTCCTTGGGGTACATATATGCATTTTCTGCGGCTGAAAATGTCATGTGACAGTTGTATCAATATTTTACCGGGTAATAAAAATATTGTACAATAAATAAAAATCTTTTTTATCTGATATACGGCCCCCACCACTTGGAGTTACCTCCCTGCTACGCATGCGCAGCCAACCAGGTAAGCACCTAGGCCCGCATCATCATTCCTTCTGCTGTCACTCAAGCGTTCACATGTGTTCCGAGTTACTAAGCTGATTTACTTCTCTTGTGAAAGAATGTCTGAGACTTCAACAACTGTATGTTTGGTCTTTATTCGTTCTTGAAAAAGAACAGTTTTATTGACTTTGCAGTCTGTTATTTCTCATTTATGTGACTTTGTATTAAATCTTTACGCTAGCTTTCCCGTGGTTTACGCACGTGTTGCTATTCCATGGCGGAAGTTTAGCGTGCCACGTAGTTGAAATATTGCGTTATAAACCAAGAATTTCATGTCGCGTGGCCGCATTCACGTAATTTTCAATGTTTTGTACATGTGTATTTATGCTACTGTGTTCCGCAGTTAGCTACATGCTTGCGTGTTTGCTCTTCAGGCGTTTACTGGGTGTACTGTCTGCGGGCAGAATATCCCGAGAGCTGATAGGCATGACAACTGCTTGTGCTGTTTAGAGAAAGCGGGACATAACCCTGAAATCTGCGAACTCTGTCTGGCCTTTTCTCCCCGGGCCCAGAAGAGACGGGAGGGTGATTTCCTTTTTTATAAGGAAATGCGAGAGGCGGGAAGGGAACTGACCCAGGAGGTCCCCATCCAAAGCCAAAAAGGCTTAACAAGCTAAACCTAAGTCTTCGCATAAGTCGCATTCCCAATCTCAATCCCAATCTAGTGGTTTGGATATGTCAATAATCACTCAATCAGCACATCGACTCCGTGAAGTCCCTTGTTCATGAGTCCGTTGGAGGTCTCCGCCAGGAGTTCCTCGCCCAATCTGAACAGGGGACCGAGAGTCCAGGGTGGGATCGCCAAGCCCGGCTCCATCTCTTAGCCTGGAGGCGACTGTTGATCCTTTGGCTTCGGGTCCAGACGCCTTGGCTACCCCGGAGGGGGAGGGTTCGCTCCCAGTCCCCCTCTCGGTGCTGGCGCAGGGGACGTTTCCCCGAATGTTGTTCTGCTTCGCCAATTATACGCTTACGTTGATCGACCTAAAGGATGCGTATCTACATGTGCAAATTCATCCATCGTTCAAGCAGTACCTCTGGTTCTCTTACGATGGGATGTATTACCAATTCACGGTGCTCCCTTCGGCATATCCACTGCCCCCAGGGTGTTCACCAAGCTCATGTTAGTGCCGGCTACCCTCGCAAGGTCGCAAGGAAGGCGTCGTTACCCTTACCTAGACGACTGGTTGCTCAGCGCTCTAACTCAGCCAGCGAGCCTAGATTCTACCCACATGGTGATAGACATTCTAGTTCGACTGGGGTGGATCATCAACCTCAAGAAATCTGACCTGGTACCCACCCAGGACTTTTTCTCGGGGCGAGGTTCACCACTCACATGGGTCTTGTCTCTTTGTCGCCCGACCGGGTCACCAGAGTACGGGAGATGGTGTCTTCATTCCTCTCCCAGCCCCAGGCACCTATCTTTGTCGTGTGGCGGGCGCGGTTGAGGATACGCCCTATACAGCAAGCTTTGGCAAGTCTGTGGGCTCACTCGGAGGATCTGGAGCAGTGTCTCACAATCCCCGGGTGGTTGTCTCCTCACCTTCAGTGGTGGACCAATGTCGGGAATCTCTCCAAGGGGATCCCTTTGGAAATCCCAACGCCAGCTCTTACAGTTCAAACCGATGCGTCCCTCACACAAGGGATCCGTACGGGGACCCATCTGTTCTGCTGTTACGGTGGCGGGAAGGCTGGGATGCCGGCTAGCAAACAGACCCTATCACGCTGGCTTGTATCGGTCATTTGTGCTGCTTATCAGGCTAAGGGCAAGCCTCCCCCTGAGGGGTTGAAGGCTCACTCGATTAGGGCAGTGGCCACGTCAAAGGCTTTTGCATCGGCACTGCCCATTGAAGAGATATGCTCTGCCGCTATTTGGAGCAGGCCTAGCACTTTTATCAGGCACTATCAGCTCGATACACATTCACGTGATCGTGCACGTTTTGGCCGTTCTGTTCTCTCCAGTGGACAGTGTCCTGCCACCCTGACCGAGTGAGTCTTGGTTATCTGGACAGTTGACGCTGCTTTCAATTGTGTATCATTGATATATCCGCTGTTATCATATTTAACGCCTTTCGATTCTCTCTCGGTTGTGAGTTAGGTTTCCCCCTTACGGTGCTCTTATAATAGATTCACGATGAGGGCGGGGTTTTTTACTTTCGCACTGTGTGCAGATCGCTTTGCTTAACCTATGAGGTCGGATCTTAGTAGTTTCCTCCCTGTGGGTTACCCTCCCATCATACCTCTCGTGACAGGTGAGTGTTGTGGCGTCTGTTGCATTCTTCCTAATGATCGCTATTTATGTGTACTTTGACAGAATTCCCTCCTCCCTAGCCTCTGGTCTTTGGGAGTCTGAGTTAATGCATATATGTACCCCAAGGACGATCTCTATGAAAAAGAATTAGCTAAACTTGTAGAGGTTTCCAATTCTTTGAAGAGAATCATCCTTGGGGTAGGGCCATCCACTTCCCCGCAATTCTGTTCACTGATTTATTCAGCAGAAGGAATGATGATAAGGGCCTAGGTGCTTACCTGGTTGGCTGCATGCATAGCAGGGAGGTAACTCCACGTGGTGGGGGCCATATATTAGATAAAAAAGATTTTTATTTATTGTACAATATTTTTAATAAAAAATAGATACACCTGTCACATGACATTTTCAGCCGTAGAAAATGCATATATGTACCCCAAGGACGATTCTCTTTGAAGAATTGGAAACCTCTACAGGTTTAGCTAAGTTTTTTAACTCATAACTTGTCCGGTTGCCTACTACAGGTGGGAGTAAATCCTGAAGAAAAACTGATGTTGTTCTATTTTTAGTAGGAACTTTAATTTCTGAAAAGACATTTTAGATGTCTGTTGACAATGTTTTCAATATGATGCCGCTGACTCCCGTTGTTGGAGAAGGTTAAACCCAAATGTTTATAAAAATCAACTGTTTTCATATTGCAGCAATCAAAATTAAAATTAATGTCTTTTCGGCCATCTTTCAAAGTAAATATTATAGCTCCAGTTATTTGTTCTTGTGTTTTTATTTGGACTATTCCATTATATTGTATAGGTAACAGACAGTAGCTAACCTGTGCATTGAACCGTAAATGTTGTTGTTTTAAGGCGTCTGCGAACTGCCTGTCTGCGTAATGGGAGGACACCGACTCGCTAACTTGGTAGACACATGTCATCATATCCCAATTGCGTAGATCGATGCTCATGCTGTTGATCACTGGATGTTCTGTTCCAGACTCAATTATTTACAGACTACCGCCATATAGCTGGAATATTGCTCAGTGCGGCGTAAAACTAAACTCACTCATATTATCAGATATAATATAAAGTGAGATCATGGATCAGTACTAGTATATGCAAAAGTGATATAAATTGATAGAGAAATAAGTGTAGCACATGTCATATCCTGGTTTAAGCATATGTAATTGGTGTTTACGGTCTGTTTAGTAACACCTCTTTAGTATCATATAAGATGGTTGTGGAACAGCATTCAGAGATGATATTCAGATGATTTAGAACATTTGGACAGTTTCAGTACTATGTATTTTATGTGTATTTCTTTGTTTTTAGCCCTACTGCCTACCTATTATACCAAGCAAACATCAAGATCTCAAAGGAATATCTCCAGAAACAGTATGTATTGTTACATTTTCCATATGCTTCAAATAAGAAATAAATGTTAGTAGGTACTGACTAGATATCATTTCTGTAGACCACCACTGTGAAGGACAAATCATGTTTCCCTTTTTCGGTTTGATGACCGACCAACAGAAATATCAGATTTTTTGGACACTTGACCAATATAATTCACCAACATTACTGCACCTATGAATAATATTGATAAAAGAGAATGATCTTTAATTTTAAGGTTGAATGATATATTGCTTGTCCATTGTACTGGTAGCAAGACTGTGAAACATTTTGATGTTCCTGTGTTTTTTACAAGATTATTTTTGAATTGACATGAAATCTTTAGGTTGTTTTTACTTCCCACAGTTTAATCTTGAGGTCAATATTAAGGGAAAAAAGCATTATGAAAAGTGTGTTTGACTGGATACCTGTGATAAAATGACCCAGTGAAGTGAAGGAATGCACACAAAAACTATCAATTCCATTAATGTGTTGGCTAACAGTGAAAGTTGATAACATATATTCTTCAGCAATCTTTAAAAATGCTTCATTATTTCAACATATGTTAATGATCACCCTTGAATCACTGGCCACTAGAACCCTAATAATCTCACCCATCACTATGATCGTGTCAGACACTTTAGTGTTTTGAAATAAATGCATTACTATGCACACTCACCATGATTGGCATACACACACACCATATTCCTGACAATTTGCATGAGGCTTTGACTGTACCTGTACTTGTCACAGTGATTGGAACATGCTTAAATGTTCCTTGTTTGGAGACCCCTGAAGATCTGGGTTAGAACTGATCTTCAGTAACCCATGCTTGTCTAGAGGCAACTAACGGGATCGGGTGATCAGGCTTGCTGACTTGGTTGACACATGTCATCGTAATCCAATTGTGTAGATCAATGTATATGCTGTTGATCATTGGATTGTCTGGTCCAGACTCGATTATTTACATACTACCGCCATATAGCTGGAATATTGCTGAGTGCGGCGTAAAACTAAACTCACTCACTCCCAGTTAAATAATCCCTGCCTTGACTCAACCAATGATAGTCACTAGTTTAAGATGCAATATCTTTGTGTTGTAGATGAGTCGTGTTCTGAACCATGAGTTCGACCACATAGTGAGTGACTTCTGTATTGTGGACTGTCGGTATCCATATGAGTACCAGGGAGGTCATATACAGGTATGTAGTAGAGATAATATTTTTAATACATTTACAAATGATATCTGGTTTTCATTTCTTGAGAAAAGTACAGTTGACTTTTATTGCTCAGAGACCAATGCAGCAATAAAAACTGGGTAATTGATCTTAACATCAGTACTAACTGCAGTATTGAATCACAATAACCAATTTTATATCTCCAATTTTCAGAAAGCAAAGAATATCTATACCAAAGATGCCATCCTAGAAGAATTTATAAAGAAGCCTGCTATGGTTTCTGATCCTAGCAAGAGACAAATAGTTATATTCCACTGTGAATTTTCATCAGAAAGAGGACCCAACCTGTAAGTACTTGTACTTGTGCTATTAGTAGTGACTCCCTTTTCATCCTTTGCCGAGCATTTAGCGCGAAGCGGGGATATAGAATTAGGCTCCGTCCGTCCGTATGTACGAATTGGAATATCTTAAGAACTGTTGACTAGATTCTTTTCATATTTGGTACCTAGGTTCATCACAGTATAAGAAAGGTCACAGTCAGATTTGGTGACATTGACCTTCATTTCAAGGTCACAAGGGGACTTTAACGTTTACTCTTGTCAGCTAGATATCTCAAGAACCGTTCTCTAGATTTTGTTCATATTGAACACCAAGCTTTATCTAGGGAAGGCGCCAAGCCCAGTTGATTTTGGTGATCTTCACATAATTTTCAAGGTCATGGCGACACTTTGAAGACTTCAGCATGTTAACCTGCATGTTAAGATATCTTAAGAACCATTCATTGGATTTTCTTCATATTCAACACCAAGCTTTATCTAGGGAAGGTGCAGGACCCAGTCAAATTTGATGACCTTCACTAAAATTTCAAGGTCACAAAGACACTTTGAAGATTTCAGCATGTTAAATTGCATGTTAAGATAGCCAGCAAGATATCACAAAAACCATTCACTGGATTTTTTTCATATTTAACACCAAGCTTCATCTAATGAAGGCGCAGGGCCCAGTCAATAAGCAATTTCTTTAGTACCATTTTTGCACATTTCATACACTATGACATTCATGTCAAGGTCAAAGTCAGTCTTGAAAATATTTGTGTGTTTGAACAACTAAAGAGCAAGATATCAAAAGAGTTTGAGTGGTCATGTTTTTGTTGACATTTAACTTCATCTTAAACTTTCATGACTTTTTAAGTTTGGTTTGATAATTTGCGGCTGGGGATTATGTCACCTTAGTGACAATGCTTGTTTAGTAGAATATACCTCTGGGATAGCAATGTTGGCATGTATGTGTGCCAACAGTCTTTTTGGGATTATGTTTGGCTCTGTTATGACAATCACTAGTTTACTCTATGTATTTTGTCTGTACATAACATACATACTGTTAGAATCAATGTGGGCAGTATTTCAGTAGGATGTTATAGGAAATAATTTTAAAGTCTTTTTCATTCTGTAGCAAGTTTTCACAAAGTGCAAGCACCTTCATGTTTGGCTCTTCTGTAGTTATTGTAGTTAGTTGAATCTGGTAGTTAGATATATAATGTTCATAGTTAACTGATCATCATTCTCTCAGTATTGTTCATGAGTGTTTAATGTTCACAGGTCACGGTTCCTCCGTAACAGAGATCGTGGGATCAACAAGGATGTGTACCCATTTTTGAATTACCCTGAGCTGTACCTCCTAGAGGGTGGATACAAGTGTTTCTATGAACAACACCAGGTACAGTGGCACATTAACTAATGAGATTTCACCTCTCTATGACAGCCTGTCATAGAGAGTATCAGAAGTATCAGAAGTATCACAGTTGATAGTTACATATATATGTAAACAGTTCTGCACTGCTGAATGAGAATCATGGGATCGGGTGGTCAGGCTCGCTGACTTGGTTGACACATGTCATCGGTTCCCAATTGCGCAGATCGATGCTGATGCTGTTGGTCACTGGATTGCCTGGTCCAGACTCGATTATTTACAGACCGCCGCCATATAGCTGAAGTATTGCTGAGTGCAGCGTAAAACTAAACTCACTCACTCACTCACTGAATGAGAATTTTGAACTTTAACTAATCATTTGCATTTTAATTGTCCTTAGTAGATTACAAATCAAAAGGATAATCCAAAGTTCTTCTCAGTGCATTATTTGCCAGGTTAGGCCACAGTACTTGTACTACCTATTTTACATATATATAAAATACACCCAAAAAAATGGTAAGATGAACAATTCTTTTCTGAACTCAATTTATCAAAAATATCTTAAAAGACTAAGCTTGAACTGTTCTGCACACTTTTAAAAATATCTTCTTACACTACCACCCTTTTTGTGGCGTTAATTCTTTTGAGGCAAATGTGCCATCCTCATTTCTCTCAAAATGTGTGTTAATATGTAATAAAACTGTTAATATAGTCTCCTTGGAAACCACTTGCTATTTGAAGGTAAATCATCATGTTTGTTCCAACCAATGATAGATGTGCCCCTGATTTTTATGAGTGTGACAATTTTATTGAAACTGATACCAATCAGTCTGCTGGCTATTTTCTGATGGTTTGGGATTTATATATTTTTCCTGTACTTTTTTATGCTTTCACAATGATAAGCTAGACTACTGAAAATGAGGATAGTGCTCATTTCTTGGACAGAACTCCAAACCATTTAATATTTCTAGATGAAACTTTCAGATGTGATACAGTTCAGTCTTAGTGGTGAACTGGTGCCGTTTGAGGATTTTGGGTTGTTAAAGATATTAAAACCAACATTTTGTTCTTCACTAAAGTGAAAGTATCTAATGGCAATGAGCCAAAGGTCACTATAAGAAGCCAAACACCCATTTCCTTATCACACCTGATCATGGGTATATGTCATTTCTGTGACTCTTGGTTTTCAACCTTATCATTAGGTGTTGAAACTTACTGTACATAACTTACCCTTACACAGAACTCTGCTCTGTTTGAACTCTGTCCTAATGTGTGTCTGTCCCATTTCAGGAGCTATGTGAACCACAGACATATAAGCCCATGCTTCATAAAGATCACAGTCATGACCTGCGACATTTCCGAGCAAAGTCAAAATCCTGGGCAGGTGAAAAGGGACATCGAACAGGCCTACGGACACTAAAATTCTAGCTTCATTCTTCACAAATCCAGTAGACACTAGCGAAAACTATTTATTTGCAAATCTGCATTGTTTGTTACTTGATCATTGTTGACAAACAAATCTTTCATTTGTTTGTGAATGATGACTTATTATGTTGGTCAAATGACGCTGCACTCCAATGGACTGCAGTCACTGAAAGTGCTCACAGTCTGTTAATTGATGTTGTTTTTTGTTTTCTGTAATTTTATGTTGTGTGTATAAATGTATCAATTTCACATCAGTTGTGAAAGTATTATTTGTACATAGTGGCATTCTATGCCAAACTGTGACATCCAATGAAATATATATCACGATGTCAGCACCTATCTGTCAATCACTCGCTTCTGCTTTACCTGTCACTCACTACATTTCCATTTCTGCCTGTCGGGTCTTATTACTTTCAATGTTGTCTTGAAATTACACTTACCATGTATTGATTAGAATTGTTCCCTCAGAACGAAAAGGTTTAAGAGTAATACATTTTGAAACATGAACCACATTAGCAAAATGATGAAAGGCAGTGAAGTTCGTTTTGAAACTTAAATTATAATTTAAATTGTTAAACTTTTGAACAATATATATATATCTCAAAGAAGCAAAGATTAAATTCTCTTCCATAAATCATTGTTATTTACAAAATTTTCAAAACTGAGATGTGAAAAACCAGAGGGAATATTAGAAGCATGCAATAGAAATACATGCTTTACTAAGTCAACAATTTCAAGCCTAGCATTCCTTTTTTCTGTTTTCCTTTGTAAACATGTGTGGATGTATGTATATATGAATGGAAGTATTTAATCTTGATACTGTTGTGAATGGTGCTATTTGTAGGGTATGAAAGCTATTCATTATTCTTCTATGTTGTCCCTTTACCAACTCTCATGTAATTATGTTGATTTTTTAAAACCTTTAAGAATACAAAATGGTAATACCAGTGACATCAAGTGAATATCCCAATGCCAGATACTACCACATTTTAGGAATTTTTTTTATGGATTTTGTGGAGACTGTATCAGTTGTAGAAGAAGATCTTCGTGTTTGATGTTTTATTTATAGTAGTCTGTGTAGTGTAGGTGTTTATGGTAGGTGTTGATTTTTTTATATTTATTGTTCGCGTACTTAAGTCGTGTGATAGTGTTTTAAGAATCAAGTTGACAAATGATTACGATGTTGGCCTCCACAACTAACTGACAACAATTCAGATGGGATTTTTTAAGCATATTAAGACAGTTTTATGACAGAGACCATTAGCTTATGCCTGTACATAAAGCTTAGGACTGCCTTTTATCCATACTTCTCATTTTTTTATCCTTGACCTATGAATGTATTTCTTGGTCACACATAGCATAAACCACTTGTTATTGAGCATATAATAAAATGGAACTAAGAGAGTGTGTACATGGTGAAAATTGCGACAATAAAATTAATTTTCATTCAATGTTTGTGTTTGTCCTGTATAAACAACCAGTTGGGATTTATGAACAGAATGGTTGTGATACTTGTCATAAGAGCCAACTAATGAGAATGAGTGTTTCGGGCTGAGAGTGTGTTATTTTACCCAGAAACAATGAAGGGTAGTATGCTTACGGTGCAGCCCAGGCTTATTTATTTACTCACTGCTGGAATAGAGCAGATCACAGCTTAAACAACGTTCACTCACTACTTATTTGTTGGGTCTCATACCCAGTAATCTTGTGATTAAAGTACTGTCGGAAATGCTAGAAAAATGCTTTTTGACTTATATTTAAAATTCAGAGGTATTACAGTTACTTAAATAACAAATATCACTTTAAGAAATATCTACCTAATGTAGACCGAGGGAATAAAATTTGAGACATGCCCTAAAATGCGTTTTTACTGATGAAAATACCAAAAACTTAGAAAAATAAGGGATAGTGGGACGTTATTTGATACAAACATTAACTGCCTGTGTTACGTCATCAGCATGCACGGTATCGACAGGTGAAACTGACACCTGAGCACACGCGAGGGGTCATCTCAATAGATGTTTTCTTCAAAATGTTGAATATGTGTACATATAGTATACATATTGGTTATGTAAGGGATCATTTGTGTATGTGTGTTTGTTTTGAAATAAACATACGAATTACTGTAAATTGGAAAGAATCCTATCACTTGTGTTATCTTATCGATTGATTGTAGAAATGTGCAACGTTTTAATAAATGTTTTGCATGTCAACAGTATATTTCATTGCAAAAATATGGATGTAATTCGGTCAGTTTAATCTAGTTGTGAACATTGGCCATAGATTTAACGAAGTCACTAGTGTAGTTTCATTAGAATATATATATTCTTCTTCACCTAAAGTTTGTAGACCGCCCGTCTAAGTACTCCCTTGTCAAAGTTGTCAGGGATGGTTTTACGTCCCGGTTTTGCTTTTGAGACGGACCCTGTCTTGTCTGATTTGTTTACAATATTGTAAACTTGTTGGTAAGACATACCAACAGCTCTACAAGTTCTGTAATAAACCCTTTCTATACTAATGAAAGGTTTACCTCTGTCTTTTTCAAGCACAAAAAAATTATAAACCTTTGCAACAATCGTCTGCAAATCGTTGGCCATAGTGGACGCTGTGATAAAGATGTGCATGCATGACGGAAAACTTATTTATCAAGACTTAACATTTATATTAATATTTCCTCAATAAAGATACGATAATTAAGTAAAGTAACACAAACATTCAACATTTATTTGTTTAAGAAAAACGTTAATTTATATTTTTACACCACCTGTATTATTAACATAAATCTAAAGACTATTTCAGATTTCTGTTGTTGAACTCTGAAAAAATCTTAAGTTGTTGTTTTGGTACCAAATTCTCTCCTGTAAACTGCCCTTTAAATGCATGGGAATGTTAAATCAATTGAAATAAAAATTAGGTACACTATAGGTGAGTTGATATATTGACAACATAATACATTTATCACTTTTCTAAAGATATTAAGGTTAAAAAGCATTTTTCTAGCATTTCCGACAGTACTTTAGTGTGTTATTTCATTGGCCTGTCACATTGAAGACCCAGCTATATTTCCTCATCTGGTGATCATGGGTTTAGATAATTCATTCACTCCATTTATGATCCAGGGAGTTTAATATTATACATGTATGGCCTGCTTTACTCTGGGCTGACTGACTCACATTTAAGTGTCAACAATCCAAGTTATATGTAGTGACATCAAGTTCACCATGAAACCTCTTGATAAAGTGCCTGCTTGACAAACTCCCCTTTACTGGATGTTATTTACATGACCAGGGGTGGTGGAGTGAAGCCCATTTCTGGTGTCCCCTTGCTGGAATATTGCTAAAAGTGGCATTAAACCCAACTCACTCAATCACCAATGACCATTACGATTTATGATTCATTCGATATGTGTTGATGACACAATCTCTCATCACAGTTTGGTATTAGTGCCCTCAGGGGTGTGGAATACTCTGCCCAACCTGTAGACCCAGTGTGTTAACACTGATAGACAGGAACATTGCAGCACAATACACAACTATAATCTCTATTTAATACCTAGGAAATATTTACCCACCACCTTTTCATGTACCGAAGGTAGTCAAATGCAGGTGGACAATTGTTCTTCAAGTTGATCAATTACTTGTGGCGATCTTCCACATCAGAGATTTCATTTTCTGATAACATTAGAAGTTGCTCAGTCTTACATGCAGGTATTGTTACACTGGCTAATATGCTGCTAAACAAGTAACTTCTACTAAACAGGATTTCATCAGAGTGTTCTCAACTATAACTAAGGTTTCATGTATACAATAAATGTTCATTAACTACGAAATCCCACCTGGGTTTGATTCCCCACATGGGTATAATGTGTGAAGTCCCCCACCATGATATTGCTAATTTTTAAACTTATCCTATCTCACGACTTGCACCTCTCTCTCTTGCTTCGACTTTTAGTGGAACAACTGTAAACTTTTTTCCATAGGCCTCCTTGTCCATTCGTCCGTGCACTCCATGCTGTTCTCCTTAATTAGCTTCCTAGTTCCTAATAAAGCTTGCAGCATGCTCCACTAATTGCCCACATGACTACCTTGAATGATCATTCTCTTTCTTGTCGCACGACTGTGTGGACGTGCTGTATATTAGGGACTCAGTCAAGGAAAAGGAAAGTTTGTGCTCAATGCAAGACGAATAATTCGTCCCTCGACCCTCACTCGTCTTGCAGTGACTATTGGACAATGTAACTGGAACAAACGATGTGGCAAGTGTAATTCACTAAAAGATGAGGATTTTAAGGCCTACCTTCGTGTTTGCTCCCGGAGAATCGCCGATAGGGACTGGAAATCAACAGAATTTGATCCCACTCCCGCCAAGCGTATCAAGTTACAGCGACAGAAAATCGTACCTTCACGCAAGAGAGCAACGTCTGTGGTTCAAGAGGATTTTATGGACGCTTCATCAGATTCTTACTTATCTGAGGACATTCGGCACCTATTACTTACGCATCAATCACCTCCTTCCATAGCGTCAGATAAGTCGCGGGTGGTTGTGATCGATAATTCTTCGTTGCCTGTCCAATCTACACTACCAGGGGACCTTAGATCGACACTATCATCATCCAGATCATCGGTACATATCCCCTCGACTGTCTCAGTTTGTTTGGAGCCTGGCCAACCGCGTTCAACCAGCCAACTGTCTCCCCACAGTTCATTGAACTGAACGGAGCTGGCTACAACAGCGTCAACCGGGGGACATCATGAATCAACATTTCAGGTTTCGTCACCTAATCGCCGATCCAGATCGCCACATCATTTTAGATCACCTCAACGATCTAGATCACCTACAAGATCCAGATCTAGATCACAAGAACGATCTAGATCACCGGATCGATCCAGATCACAGTCACGATCCAGAGCACAACTAGATCCACATCACCTGATCAATCCAGATCTCCTAACTGATTCAGATCACCAAACGGGTCCAGATCACAACTTTGAATCAGATCACCGGACAGATCCAGATCACCGAATGGATCCAGATCACAACTTCGAATCAGATCACCGGACCGATCTAGGTCACCTAACCGATCCAGATCACAACATCGAAGTAGATCGCCAGACCGATCCAGATCACCAAATCAAGCCAGATCGCAACTGCAAACCAGATCACCTGTTTGATCTAGATCACCTTATAGATCCAGATCACGATCACAGTTTCCAGTTAGTGCATCGAATCGATCATCTTACCAACCCAGGTCACCTATACGATCTAGATCACCTTACAGAGCCATTGACCAATCGGGATCAGACTACAGATCCACATCTCATGGCCGATCCCATTCAGATGGTCGAACCAGAGCTCCAATCACCAACTAGAACTAAGCGACCCGGACTAGTTCTTCATATCATACCGGATCACCTAGCCATACTAGGGAATCCAGATCACCGGCTTACCAACCTACTTCGGTACTTACCACGTCGAGATCTCGATACAGTTCCTCTTGACCGACGTTTGGGTGATCATTGCTCTGATACCACTAATAGGCCTACAGTCTCTTAGGATGTTCCGTCAGCACGCTCTGAGAATCCTTCGACTCACTCTAGGATCATCGCTGAGTCATGGGTGCCTGAAAACAATCCCACTCCTACAGCGACTCGGGATCTAAATATGATGATCAGGGCCATAACCTCAGCCTGGAACCAAATACAGCCTTCTACTCCAGCCCATCCGGCTCCGGTAGCTCCTGGCTCTTCATCTGGTCCACCTCCTGAGATTGATCCAGTCCAAATAGCCATGCCTGCATCTCCCGCTCACTCTGAGTTATCTACCCCTGGGGGTAGCTTTGCAGCAGTTGAGACACCTCAGGTACTCCTTTGGATTGTTGAGAAGCTCCAACTTCCCTTGAGTACTTCAGCAGATGACCTGGATCACTCTTATACTCTTAGGAACCGGGATTGGTCTACCATCACCCTACCACCTCAACGTTGTGTTCTGAAATTATCCAGTACACTAAATGATGAATTCAAGAGCCTGAAACAAATTAAGGAAGGATTCTCTGATCCCAGATATAATCCTTCTACCTCTCATGTCCACGGCCTAGCAAAATTCTCTACGGCTCCAACAGTTGATGAGGATATTGGAACCCTGTGTGGCAAACGAGCTGCTTTGCCCTACCTTATTGAGGACCGAGAGTTGGCTCACATTGATTCTGCCGTGAGAAAGACGTTGCCATCTATTAGTTGCGTGATTGCAGCAGTCGACGCTGTTAACACAGCTCTGGAGCATACTTACTCTGATCAAGACGCTTACATTCGAGGATGCATGACTTTAGCTCTGGACCAGTTCCAAATTATCCTGGATCAGTTGTCTCATTTTTTGGGCTACACTCTTGCTGTTCGCCGACGTGGACCCCTTAACATCTCTTCATGGGAGGAGCGATTTAAAACAGAACTGTTTT